GCCATCGGCAGCGTAGGATTTTGTAACTGGAGCCGTCGCCCGCGTGGGGACCGACGGCAGGGAACAGGCCCCGCAGAGCTCCGGCTTCCAGGAAAGCGCCGCAGCCCCGCGGAGCAGCTTGGAGGCCATTCCGCTGTGGATCCCTGTTCTATAGATAACCCCAGCACCGCATGGAGCTGCCAGCCTCACGGGTGACAGCTGAGGAACCGCAGAGGCATCCAGTGACCTCAGCTGGATTCTCGGCACCCCTGTGACATTGGGCACTGAGGCCAGGGGGCTAAATTTAACCTGCTGGGGGACTCGGGGGCTCTCTCAATAAATCCCCAGGGGCCATGGCCAGCAGGTCCCAGTCACAGGAGCTGCAGGGCGGCAGCCCAGCTCACGGTGTCTCTCTCTCGCTCTGCTCCCGCAGGCCTTGTGTGGCTGCACTGTGAACATTCCCACTATCGATGAGCGGGTGATCCCACTGCCCTGCAACGACATCATCAAGCCGGGCACCGTGAAGAGACTGCGCGGGGAAGGGCTGCCCTTCCCCAAGGCCCCCACCCAGCGAGGAGACTTGATCGTGGAGTTCAAAATCCGCTTCCCTGACAGAATAGCCCCCCAGACGAGACAGATCCTCAAGCAGCACCTCCCGTGCTCCTAGAGCCCGCGGACTCTTCTCCAAGCAGCAATACTCCAAACGCACATGCTACAGCACCCACCTGCGCTGAGCAGTGGTGCCGCAGCACTTTCAAATGCAAAAAACCCCACTATCCTGCCCCAAGTCCTGTCCATCCCTCCCTCACTCCTGCCCCTCTTGGCCTGTTTTCCACTCTGGCAGTGGAGGGGCTGCAAGCGGGGGCTCCGGCCCAGCCCCTCACAGCGCTCTCAGCTGCTGGCCCCTTTTTGGTTGTTGTTTTTCCCCAAGGTCTAGCTTCTCTGCCTTGCACCAGCGAGTGGCACGGGCTGCTTGCCCGGGGAGGTGCAGCACTTTGCGGTTCTTACGTCACCTGCTTTTGAAGCCAACTTTCCGACTAGAGGATGGACTTGTAGGGATGTCAGTGCAGTGTAAATAAATAGGACTTCACATAACCCGCCAATGTGAGTTTCCTCTTCCCCTCTTTGATACTTGCTGCTATCTGGGGTCCCGGCTGTACCGAGGTGCCAAGGAAACAGAACGTATAGCAAAGGGATCACGTCTGCACACGGCGGCCACTGTTGCCGGACTGTTTCTAACTCGGGACCATGGTACCTAGTCCTATTGTGGTCCACTCTCCTATGCCAAGGCTACAACCAAGCATCATCTGTGCCAAATGAGAGCGCGGAGCTGAGAGCACTTGGTGACGGTCCCCCCCGTCCCCCTGCTTGGGCTGCAGGGCTTGGCTGGGTCTGTCCCACATCCCCACGTGGTGCTCCGCCGGTATCTCCCTGTGCCGGCTGCCAGGCCAGACCCCAAGCAGGAAGGAAGGGGGAGCCCAGGTGGGAGCTTTCTTGTTCAAATGTATTGAGTTTGCATTGCTGTTTTTTTTTTTTTTTTTTTTTTTTTTATTATTTAAATAAATGTACATATACATATACATAGATATAGATATAGATATAGATATAGATATAGATATAGATAGATAGGTTAGCTCCATAAGGGTTTTCTCTGCCCATTTTGGGTTTCCTGGAGTGGGTCATCCTGCCTTTCAGAGGCTCAGTTCAGCCATACGAACATCATGCCTGTGAGAACATAGTATGTGTGTAGCACAAATTCAGGTGCAAAGGCAGAGCCAAGTGTGAGCAGAGCTGTGGTTTTTTCACTAGCGTTTGAGTTCAACCTTAGGGATTTTCATAGGAAGAGAAATGCACGTGTATATATTTTTCTACAGGGACGATGAATCCAGGAGGTGTTTGTGGGCATTATGGTGAGGCTGGGAGGAGCATGAGGCAATCTGCTTGGTGGTTTTGTTTTTAAACGCTGTATTTTTTAAAAAAAACTTTAAGTTTCCATCAGGAGATTTTATATATATATATATTTCTTACCTCTGTCAGCCTATTCTGCCTCTTGCCAGTTTTTCCCGGGAGGGCCCTTTGGAGTGGGAGGCACCCCTGACCTGACGTGGCTCCGCATGTCTCGGAAGCACCTCTCCCACCACGGCAGCGCCTTCCCGCTT